TGTGGAAGATTATTCATTATATATAAAAGACGATCGTTAAATTTAATCAACATAGAATTTTTATGCTTTTTGATAAAACTTGTTTAAAAGCACAGTTGCTGCCTAATTACACTAAATTTACATTTTTAGACATGTTAAACATTTAGGTGCAATTACAATATGTATATGGAACAAAAACCTGCAAGCTAAAGTTTGGCAGCTTCTATGGTCTGACCTGGTGACTGCCACTTGGCTGTTCAGATGTGTGGGTGGTATAATGGATAGTATCTTGGAAAATGAAATCAGAGAGCCGAGTTCAAATTCCAGTCAGGTTCATTACATGCATGGGAAGAGGTATGAATCTATCTCCTCCTCTAAAAATTGTTAATGCAATATTCCCTCACAAAAAAGAATGATTTTTACAATCCAAAAATATCTTTTGGCTCTAAATAATCCACAAATGTTCGCTAAAACATATAAAACAAACAAACCAATTAAACAATTACTTTGATGTTCCTGCCACAGCTTATTTCTGCTGATTTGCAATGCTATAATGCAAGAAAATGTAAGCATATAGTTGCATTAACTCTGCTCCTTTTACCAGTGTAATTTTAACACAATGAGTATCAGCCTGCACAAATATCTGAAAAGGGGAACTGTTTAATAGATGTTTAATGGATAATAAACAGTTTTTCTATAATAGTTTAATGAATAATAAACAGTGTTGCTATAATAATTAATTTAAATGAGATAATCTGGTTGGATTACATACATAGTCTAGTGTAGTGGTTCCCAAACTTTTTTCCTCTGGGCCACATTTTTGGAATGAAAATTTGCTTGCACATCACCAAATTTTATGTGATAAAAAGTACATTTAAAAATAGAAAAAACAGAGTGAAGGTTAAAGGGAAATAGCTGTGTATTCGAAGTCAGAACATTATCATTGATAACTCTCTCCTCCAATTTGCAGACCCTAGTTACTATATTCTTATATATTTGATATAATGCAAAAATATCACAATGATAAAATTTGTCAATAATTATTTATGATTATACCTAGCACTCATGAATGCAATTACAAGTAATTCTTAATATTTTAAATTTTGAAATCATATTTATTTTTGGCATATGGATTTTTTAAAAATATTTCTAAACTTTTTGATTGTCTTTCAGACATTCTGCCTTCATTGCTATCCTCTTCCACTGCACATAATGAGGTGAGATTTAGCATTTGGGAACTACTGATCTAGTCTGTAAAACACTGATCCAGTCTGACAGTATTTCTAGGATATAGAATGAGTGTTAAAATCTTGCCTGGTGCTTATTCATTACTTATATTATTTACATTTTGACTAATGTCCTCATCTTTGTTGTAATCATCACAATGTTTCAGCCATTGTGCCTTTTAGCCATCTCTTGATCTGGGAAATTCAAACTGAACAAATAATCTTTGGGAATAGATCGTTCTCATTCTGATGTCCATATCTAAGTAAGGATGATTTGTTCTTTTTAATTATACTTAGTTATTACTCAACTTGTTTCCATTGAGTGTCAGTTTACACTACTAGGGATTTAACTCAAATTTACTATATCACCAAATTAACAAACCAACACTTTAATATACTCAGTTAGATTAAAGCAAGTAGTAGAAACTCAGATTTGTCTCTTCCAATACAATTTCATATTTTTTAAATGTTGGGACCCAAATCCTGGGTATGATGATAAACTACATCCGCGTCCAGGGTAAGATGATAAACTACGTCCAGCAACAGGGCCTCTGATCGGGAGGCTTTGGGGGGGTGTGGAACCACCTCTTAGTTGTTGGTGTTCCTGAGTCTGCCCTGAACTGGGGTGGTGGTACCTGTTATGGTCCCAACTATGGGCAAGTAGTTGGCCCCCACAAACTGGGGTAAAGGGCATTATGAAGGTGTAAAAATAGGTTTTAATACCAGAAATACTTTATAAAAAAATTATTACCAGAAAAGAGTTTTTGAAGAAAAAAAAAAAACTATTACCAGGAATACGTTTTGGAAAAAATAATATTACCAGCTATACATTTTTGATGAAAAAAATATTATCAAAAATAGATTTTTGACAAAACAAAAATATTACCATGAAAAAAAGTTGTCAGCTTTAAATGACCCATTGAGGTTGATATGCCGTAAAACAAACCAAACCAAATTTATACTGAGTGATCTCAAGTGGAAGGTTATATTGAATCAATTGCTAGTATTGCTTGGAAAGTTGGTTCACTGTGTTATGCTAGATAATTTTTTTTTATAAATACTTTCATGCTAATTGTTCTGATGAACTTTCCTCTATGGTACCTAGATTTTATAAATTTAAGCGCAGTATTGGTGGTAAGGTTTCATCATTTTACAGTTGAGATGACTAGATATAACCGTAAGTTCTATGCTAACAATTTCTTCTTTGACACTTCTTGCTTATGGAACTCACTTTGGGCTTCTTGCTTCCCAGTCAGCATTGATCTTTGAAAGTTTTAATGCAATGTCAATCACTATCTTAATTCTTGTTCTTTTATTATTCTCTCTCCTTTAATAATGTTTTTTTCTCATATTCTTTCACACTCAATAACCCCTTGTGTCTTAGTGACTTTATTGCTTTGATTAGGGTGAAATGATTTTTTAAAAATAGGTGCAAAATGGTTATGCTGAGCAAGATCATACCAGAAAAGAATGCATCAAATATTAATTATATTATTATTTTATTATAATAAATATAAAAAGACTCTATTTAGGTGTTCCAAAGTATAAAAATTATTTTTGACTGCAAGTGGTTGGGTGCAAAAAGGTCATGTTCAACCTCTGAGGTCACTAGATGTCATTAAAGGTAGAATTAGTTTATGACTTTTATGATTGGGCAAATAATTACATTCTTGGGTGTAAATTGGCATGTGGGGGCATTTGAGCAGTAAAAGATGATAGTAGACTTTGTCTTGATTTCTAAGGTCACTTGAGGTCAGCTTTGTATTAACTCTTTTTTTTCCTTTTTATCTAAATGACAGAACTTAAAGCGCTAAAAAGTTGATTTTAGTTTTTTTTTGTAACACATTGTGCAACTACAACACTAAAAAATATTTTCAGATAAAACCTTGATTTTTTATTTTAATCTGTTTTAAATGTACAAAAAATCCCAGAACTGCAGAAACTACAAGTGTCTTTATGGGATGAAACATGTTTGCTTCAAAGAATGATGGAATCAAAGAAATAGACTCAATTCTGTTACAACAGATTCCTGGGGAAGCTCAGCTGTACTAGTCAACTGATAAAATCAACTGTTCAAAATGCAATTGATTTCCTAAAATTTCTTGATCTGCCTGATGTTCCTCATGACAGGCTTCAATTAAAAGTTCATATTAAGTACAATGTTTTTAATAAATCTAAACTAATCTCCAAAGTTGTACAACAAACCTTGCTTAGCTGTTAAATAACTTCTTTTATGTATCATCATGGCAAATATAATAACTGGGGAAGCAAAGTGAAGGATATGTTCATTCCCGGGATTTCCATAATTCCATAATCTTTGCTCTTTAACCTTCTATTTATTGCTCATCCCGTTTGTGTAGTCTGAGGTTATACTGCTGAGCCTAGAGGATTAAAGTGATTTTGTTTGTATAGTAATTGTGAGTTCAATCCGTGGGCTGGGCAGTACAGACTTAGATTCAGCAGAAATAGGATGAACAATAACTGAGCAAGGGAATAAGACAAGATATTCTTATATATCGCCAGCAGGACAAGAACAACATACCCTCGTAGATTAAATAAAGAGTTCAGTTTGAAATTCCTTACAGGTTATTTATGTTATTTACAATGTTCGGACTGTTGTCTTCATCTTTATTGTCATATTCCCAACATTTCAGCCATTGCACGCTCTGGCCTTCTTCAGGTGATATTTGTTGCAATTTCAAACCAAACCCTTTATTTCATCCACTGGGATAGAGTGTTCCCATTCCACATGCCATACCTTTTCTGGAGATCTAAGTTTCAGTTATTTCCCTTTAGTAACTGAACTCTCCAGGTTTTTGTTCACCTCTGCTGTGGCCAGGTATTGAACTCATGACTCTTTGGGTCAAGTCACTGGATTACTTCAAATAATGCTTTTATTCACTGTACCCCAAAGGAAATAACTGAAGCTAAGATATTCAAAAAAGACATGACACATGGAATGAGAACAATCTACCCCAGTGGACTAAATAAATGGTTTGGTTTAAAATTCCAATGTATATCATCTGAAGATGTCCAGAGCGTGCAATGGCTGAAATGTCAGGAATATGGCAATAAAAATGAGGTCAACAATCCAAACAATGTAAATAGTTACAATGCTTCATCTCAGAAATATTGACAGAGGTCCTTGAAGGTTACGCAAAGCAACAGACACTCGAAAAAGGCTGGAGAACACAACAGCCAAAATGTTCTGATAACAACAAAGATGGGGATAGTAGTTCACCTGTAGATAATGTAAATAAGTCACAGTTTTACTATAAACATCAAGAATACGGAAGAACATTATCTGAAGTTTGCTCTCCAGATGGGAACAAGTATTTTAACTCTGAAATTTATTAAAAGCAGAATGAGATTGCAATTTGACATTTTGAATTCTCTACTCCTGTGTTTAACTCCAAACCTTAAAAATTAGGCAGAATCAAAGTGGACACAAAAGTTTCCCTAATGGGAATAATGTTCATTGTATTTTTATATTAAATAAATAAATCAGATAAAAACATTAAATATATTCATATAAATATTTTTATAAGACTCAATGGGAGTAGTCATTTTTTAAAATATTGAATTTATTTTCAGAAATCATACTTTTGGAAAATATGTTTAATTTTACAATTGAGTCTTCAGATGAGTGGATGGAATCTCCACAAAACTGAGTCATCATAAATGAACATCTAATTTTATTTATGATTATAAATAGAATATATAAATAAATACTGCAGTAGTCAGTGTAAGGGAGTTTTGCTTTGAAGTTAAGAGATATTTTTTTTTTCTTTTCAGGTGGCATAATATCTCGGGGTATCACAGAAATTGCTGGGGAAAGTGCAAGTGGCAAAACACAATTTTGCTTACAGCTCAGTCTTACAGTTCAATTACCAGAAGAAAATGGAGGTTTAGCAGGAGGTTAGTTCCAATTTGTTATATTTATTTATTAGTTTGAGTCACAAAGAAGTTCCATTTTTGTTTATCAACTTCAAAAAATAAAATCCATTTTGTTCAATTATATATTAACCATTATTTGTAATGATTTGTTGCCACTTAGGCATATCTGTAATAACTTTTGAGGAAAATTTTGCAAGTTTTGATGTGAAAAAGTTTTGACAATAAAGAAAACTTGAACAGGAATGAAAAAAAAAGCAAATAGAAATGACAACATAAGGAAGAATTAAAGAAAAATTAATAAGAAAAACTGAACAGAAATAAAAAAAAAATTGAAATGTCAAAAAAATGAATGAGAATAAAAAAGACATATAAATGAATAAGGATAATAAAGACATATAAATGAAAGACAAAAATGAAGAAATAAACAAACAGGAAACAAAAAACAAATAAACAGAAATGAAAGAAAAATGAATAAGAACAAAGAAAAATTGAACAGGAATGAAAAAAATACAAATAGAAATGATAAAAAAATGAACAAAAATGAAAGACAAAAATGAATGAAAAATAAAAAATAAACAAAAATGAAAGACTAAAATGAATGAAAGACAAAAAAATGAAAAATGAATAAGAATGAAACAAAAATGAATGAAAAACAAAAAAATGAACAAAAATGAAAGACTAAAATGAATGAAAGACAAAATAATGAAAGACAAAAATGAATAAAAATGAAAGACTAAAATGAATGAAAGACAAAAAACAAAAACAAAAATGAACAAAAATGAAAGACTAAAATGAATGAAAGACAAAAATGAATAAAAATGAAAGACTAAAATGAATGAAAGACAAAAAACAAAAACAAAAATGAACAAAAAAATGAAAGGCAAAAATGAATGAAAGACAAAAAAATGAACTGAAGCTATAAATAAGTTAGAAAAAGATCTGTGATAAAATAATTTGTTATTACAGTTGTAAACTAATTTTTTTATTTATACTCCGTTTTCTTTGTAACTAATTTAAATATGAAGTAGGTAGAAACTTAGAACAACAGACAAAGAATCCATTTTATTCTAGCAGAGACACATAACCTTTCTGGTCTTTCTTTTGCACAGGTCACATTTTAAATATATGGACAGATTTCCTTTATTTTTTTAATTTCTCATGTATTGTGTCAAGGTTATTCACAGTGTGAGATTGCTACAATTCTCATTTTTCCTATTCAAGTCAACCCAAGTCAACCTCTCACTTGTGAAAGATAGGTTTTGATTTTCATGTGTTGTTTCTCTTCTTACTTCCTCTCGATTACTTGACGGTACCAAGGTGAACATGCCAGCCGTCAGCCTTTAGTGCATCCTATCCTATCTGCCAAACTTTTCATCTACGCTTCCTGCAATCTTAACTTCCTTTCTTTTCTCTTTCACTTTTTAACTGGCAACATAACCCGGCACTGCTCTCAGTAGGGTTATTCAAAACATATGTACCATTATTCACAATATAAGTACTTGTATTCAAAGTCTATATGACAGCTTGCGAAATCATGTAAATTCTTTTTCTTTTTTTTCTTTTTTAGTTTAGGAATTATAGTCAGTATCAATTTTTCAGGCTGACCCAAGCCTTGTGGGTGAAATTGGGTAGATGAACCTGTTTGGAAAGTCATTGATGCTTGTGCTAGAACAAAGTCATAAGGCATCATGACTGAGGGTTTGAGCATACTGGCATTGTTCAAACTGCTGATCATACCAGACTATGCATTCACCCCAAAACTGTAACTAATGTCTGCTCAGCATAGTTGCAGTATAAAGCACAGGTGGGCACTGTGGGTAATGAACAAACACAAATGTAACTGAGCAAGCATCTGCAACATGGATTGGCTAGCCACTCTAGCAGAATGGTGGGGTCAGAAAATATCCAGCCTATATATATATATATATATATATATATATATATATATATATATGTGTGTGTGTGTGTGTGTTAATAGGATATAGATTCCAAACAAGATTTTTGATGAATCAGACTAAGTGGAAAACAGTTTTATAGACTTCATATTTCACCTTTGTTAAATAGGCTTCTTTGTGTCTGAATGAAAGAAATATGTATGTATGTAAGTATGTGTATATTTTTTAAAATCAAATTAAACAAACATTAACTATTTAATATTAAAACACACATAGATACACACACATTTCTTTCATCATTCTGACTTGAAGATGCCTAATTAGGGTGAAATGTATAGCCTGTAAAACAGTTTCTTTGTCTGATTTATCATATATATATATATATATATATATAAAATAAAAAGGCTAAAACACTAATATTCCATGGAATATTAGTGTTTAAGCCTTTTTATTATATCCTTACTCTGTCCTAGACATTGAGTTCTACCTGGATTCTATCCTCTTGGAATTTTTATTCTAAAAATATACATGTATGGGTATTTATATATTTTGCATATGTATGTATATTTTCCACTAATATTATCTATATATATATATATATATATATATATATATATATATATATATATATATATATAATCCATGATAATGACTAAATGAATTGCTGAATGTGCTCCGATGTACAGAACATTTGGACAATTTTTATAGACTCTATGTCCAGAAAAGAAAATACTTAAGCAAACAGAAGAAAAATTAAATAAAAAGCTTAATCACAGTACATTGGTAGTCATCTTCAATGAAACTTGTATAAAAGAGGGATTGCTGCCCAAATATACAATTACAATATATATATATATATATATATATATATATATATATATATATATGAGTATGAAATAAGCAGAAAAGCTTAAAATTTTATATGAAACCAAATGGCCAATGTCACAAGATAAAGCTAATAAAAGAAATCTATGTGGCAAATTGCGAAAAAAAAAGTGACAAGATTTACAGTCAGTATGTTTTTTAGGCCAATATATTCCTGAAAATGGACAGGCAGCTGAGTGATGGGTGAGTTTATCAAGACACCACAGATTACTCATGTGCTTTTATCTGCTCATTAGGTGTGAACTTGAGACTTTGTGCTTCTGCAACCATCAACAGCTTCCAAACAGTTTCAGCAACCCAATTTCACTCACAAGGCTTGAGTCAACCTGTGGTATAGTTTTCAGGTGCAACATGATATAATTGTCTCCCCAAGCCAGTAATTATCTAGAAGTCACCTCTTTGATAAATTAAGTATGGTGAGATCCAAACGTATAAGTACCTTCATTCCAGGCACAAATACTTTTATTAGAATTATCAGTAGGCAGATTTTCTTTATTTAAAATATATGAGGGTCTTATTCAAGAAATATGTTCTTTTATTCAAATTTTAAGCACTTGAGGAGAGCCATGTGCCAATTCCCATTAGGTTTGTTATATTCACTTATGTGCAAATACCCTTGGGAAAGGTATGAATCCACCTTTTTTACCCCCAGCTATGGGTTAATTAGTAAGACTTGTATCACTAAACTAGTCTTATCTAAAAAAAAATTCTTAGAATTTAAAACTATTTTCTGGCTTTAAATAATCTGCAAAGGGTTGATAAGCCATAAAAAATGAATGAATCAATCATTTAAGTACTAAATTGTTGATAGAAGTCATCTCAACCTGAAATTTAGAAAGGTTTTCCAAAATTGTTGCAGGCTCTCTGTCTTATAAGTTGTAAGTGACATGTGCAATAGCACTCAGGCTTGTACTGGTGATGTTTTTTTTTTTTTAAAGGTGAAGTCCAGCATGTGTATCCCTAACTCAAGACTTCAAACAAGGGTTTCATGTGCAATTGTCCATCAAAATTGAACACGGGCAATAATATCCTGAGGTCATGGGTTTTATGCTGGAGTTTCCCTCACCTAGGAAAATGGTTGAGTCAAATATAGGACTTTACCACTCATCCAAAAGAGTTATCCAACAATATGGCTGACTTGAGTAGGTTTTTTGTTGAAGTTTCCATCTCCAAGAAAATGGCTGTGTCAGATGTTGTGAGGTATGGCATATATCTTAAGAAAAGTTCAATAATAATATGGCTGATCTGGGTAGATTCAAACTCTGCTCCTAGTCTCACTTCAAAATTTGCAGTTAGTTTTCTTTTGTTTTTGTATAAGTCCTAACAATCTTTTAACTTGATCTCTTTTTACACTTCCCACTATTCTTGAAAATTCATAAAAGGAATAGACAATAAGTTTTGGGATTAATTGGATAACTACATGAGCTCTCTCTAGGTAATGAGTACTTTCAAGACATGGAGGATCAACGCTCTCCATATTTCACATTACTGCTTGAAAGTAATTGGCCATGGTTAAGTGCAATCGGTAAAAATGCTCAACAAGCGGAATTGACAAACTATCCAATAAACAATACAAAAAGGAAGAAAAAGAACAGAGCAAAATAATACTAAGCAAACACTATTTACATTATTCAGACTATTGTCCTCATCTTTGTCGCCATATTTATTACAACATGGCACAGTGGATAAAGGCGTTAGTTAGATCCAGTGACAGGAGTGTGAGTTCAATGCCCGGTTAAGGCAGTGGAGAACTTGGAGAGGGGAATTAACAGGAGATAACTGATAATTGACGTCCATTAAAACATAGCACATGGAACTAGAACAGTCTACCGCAGTGAGCAAAATAAACGGTTCAGTTCAACATTCCAACTACCTGAAGAAGGCCAGAGCGTACAATGGCCAAAACGTTGTAATAAATATGGCGACAAAGATGAGGACAATAGTTCAAATAATGTAAATAGTGTACATAATACCTCATCTCAGAAATATAGACAGATACTAAGCAAACAATATATATACAAGTCAAAACTAGTCAAAGCAACAGTAATAAGTTCACAAAGTAAGAATTATGTTCACACATGAAAGGGATACACCCAAGTGATTGTCATGTTCTAACTTCAAGAACAAAAATATGACAGATGACACCAAGAAGTGGTCCATTTTTACTGTTTAGAAAGAAATCCCAGCATGCAACTGTAGGATTATAATAGAAAGAAAAGCAATGATATTCAAAAGAAAAAATCAGC